GTTCTGCAGTTCAGTGGTTCAAATCTCACTGGCTCAGGGTTGACTCAGCCTTCCATCCTTCCGAGGTGGGTAAAATGAGGACCCGGATTGTTGTTGGGGGCGATATGCTGACTCTGTTGTATGCTGAAAGCCCTATNTCTGGCTGTCCCGGCTGGCCTGGGGTTAAGATTGTAGCCCCACCCGAACTGTGTGACTGTTGTGCTCTTTTTTTTAACATGTTGTATTGTCCACTGTTTGTCTCCCCCCCCCCCTTTTTGAATTGTGAGCCGCCCTGAGTCCCCCCAGGGAAAAGGGCGGCATACAAATAAAGGAAACTAAAAAAAAAAAAACCTAACTAAAAAATATAACCCCCCTTTTCATTTAATCTAAATCCCCCTTTCACTCCTCTCTTAACAATTAAACATTGTGCATACATAAAAATAAAAGCTATTAAACATTACCAGAAACAATAAACCTTTCTCTGCAGAGTTCCATCAACAGTTTTGTCTCAATTTTAATGGTATACCTTGCCAAATCTATGTTTTTCTGCTGTCTGTATATATATCTTTCTACTCTCTCCATAGTTCTGTTATACCTGATGTATTCATTCACTTTAACTCAAATCTTCTCTTCATGTCCTCCCCACATATTGGTTTCCAAAACTTTTAATTCCTTAAATTAGTCTGTTCCAGGGATACCATGTTCCTTATCTTTTTGCATATATGGGTACTTTGTAATGATATCTACCTATCTTGTATTTTTCATTTCGTACTTATCCTAGCATGTCTTGTCTAATGTTGTCTTGGATCCAAAATATGGTAACTAGTCAGTAGTAGGAACTGTATCACTAAATAACAAATCAACCTGGCCCTGCTAATATGACCACTGGTGAGAGATGCTGGAAGAGGCAGCAACATGAAAATATTCCTCCATAATTCCACCAGAGATAGGGGAGCCTTGCCACTTTCACTAACTCACCTTTATTTATGCTGCACAAATTACTATTGGAATTTTCAGGAAGTATCAAAAGCTGCGAGCAAGGAGAGGTACAGGAACACTTAACCACAGGCAAACTGTTCATTGTTCCTAGGTTCAAAGTCTAACCTTCTAAGCTTGAGAGAGAAGCTTATAGGATAGACAATGTAGCCTTTGTTGGTGTTGTAGAAATAGATAAAAGTTATAGATGAAAATAATTTCCTGTCTCAACTCAATGGTTTAAACCAGAAAGAGTATGCAACAGTACTAACTAAATATGTAGAATCTGATTGAGTGAGAAAAGTTACTCAACTATAATACCAACTTGATCTAATATTATTTATTGAAATAACAGTAATCCATAAAATTCATGTTGGCCTCTGTTTCATATACATTGGTTATAAGCCTTTTTGGAGCACTGCTCTGTAGCTTCTAAAACTTAAGGCTCTTTCATAAGAACTACACTCATATGTACCATGCAGTGAGGTGTAGCTCCTGCCAAATCTCCTTTACTCTGTTTTTGACTGATGAAAGGATGTTTATCTTTTAAGTTCCTTGAGATTCTCTAAATCTTCTTATTTTTAATTTTAATATTATGCAAACACATTTTAATGGAATATAGAATAGAATTCTTTATTGGCCAAATGTGATTGGACACACAAGGAATTTGCCTTTGATGCATATGCTTTCAGTGTACATAAAGAAAATAATAAAATATATTCATTAAGAATCATAAGATACAACACTTAGTGATAGTCATAGGATACTAATAAGCAATCAAATCATACTAGGAAACAATAAAACAATGTACATTGCAAAGATACAAGCAACATGGTTATAGCTATAAGTGGGAAGAGATAGGTACTAGAAAGGATGAGAAGAATAGTAATACAGTCTTAGTAAATAATTGGACAGTGTTGTGGGAATTAGTTGTTTAGCAGAGTGATGGCATTCAGGAAAAAAACTCTAGAAGTTGAAACAATTTATGTCCAGGACGTGAGGGGCAGTAGATATTTTCACAGTCCCCTTTTTGCCTCGTGCAATATACAGGTCCTAATGGAAGGCAGGTTGATAGCAATTGGTTTTTCTTCAATTCTAATTATCCGTTGAAGTCTGTGTATGTCTTGTTTGGCTGCAGAGCCAAACCAGACAGTTATAGAGGTGCAGATGACAGACTCAATAATTCCTCTGTAGAACTGAATCAGCAGCTCCTTGGGCAGTTTGAGTGTTCTGAGTTGGTGCAGAAAGAACATTCTTTGTTGTGCTTTTTTCACAACATTTTTGATGTTAGGTGTCCATTATAAGTCTTAAGATATGATAGAACCTAGAAGCTTGAAGGTCTCTACTGTTGATATGAGGGAGAGGGGTATCCTTTACTCCCAAAAAAATAAAAGTGAAGAATATATCATTGTGAAAAATAAATATCAATTCCATCATTTACATATTACTGCAAATGATATTAATAATAATATTTATTTTAAAATAATATAACATCACAGCATTAATAATATGGTAATATTTACTTAAAACAGACTTAAGATCACAACACAAGAATTCAAGCAAATATTCTACTTTCAAGTGCAAAATCTTTATATAACCAATTTAAGATGACAAATATCTGATTTGTATGTGATTTATTTTGGTGGTGATGGTAGAAACATGTTTTCCGTGAAGGCAGAACTATCTTCACTTGTTGGTTGTTTTGGAAATGTTCACTAGACTTCCTGTCAAAATGAGAACCAGCTCTCAAACTGATCATTTATGAAGAGGAAATAAAAGATAAATATTGGAGACAGATTATCCTGTAGAAAAAGTCATGGGTAGTCAACCTTTTTATACCTACTGCCCACTTTTGTATCTCTGTTAGTAGTAAAATTTTCTAACCTCCCATCGGTTCCACAGTAATGGTGATTTATAAAGTAGGGAAGTAACTTTACTTTATAAAATTTATAAAGCAGAGTTACAGCAAACTCCTACCGCCCACCATGAAAGCTGGAACGCCCACTAGTGGGCGGTAGGGACCAGGTTGACTACCACTGATCTAAGTAGTTACTAAGAGCTAACACGAATGGCACATAATCAAATGACAGAACAAGTAAACTGTCTCTATTTGTAAAGATCAGCTTTGACTCAACACTTACCTGGAATAAATGGTAACTTTACTTATTTCAAGGAACATAGCATTACTCTCTATAACATGACTAGATTCAACTTTCTCCTTTCTTAGTAAAAAACATGTTCATACATTTAATAAAATTCAGTTAATTCTTTTGACTTCTTGGTTACATGTCATCTACTTGTGTAGCGTTTGTGGACACTTTGCTTCTTTTAGAAGGATGGCCAAACAGTTATTGTGCTTGGAATATTATTTGTGTAATTTTGGTCATTGTCATGTGCTGAATCTCAGATGGTATTTTTGCAAAGTCTTGCTCTCAGGTTAAAAGTAGAACTTAACATATAGCAAGGAACACATCATTATTTCCACAATATATATAGATTCAACATTTTTAATCTTAAATTATTTAATTTTTAATGTTTTATATATTAATTACTGTATTTTTATCTCCATAAGACACATTTCCCCCCTCCACCCCAAAGTGGGTGGAAATGCCTGTGCATTTAAGGAGCGAATATTGCATCACTGTGGTGTATTACCTCAGGGGTCCCCAATGGTGGACCAGTGCCAGTCCTTTGGTGCATAGCAGCTAGGCTGCGGTGGCTAGATCGTTTTACAGTGCTGAACTCAATATGTAACTTGCAGAGATCATAACAAAAAAACTGGTTACGTATCTTTAAGTGTCATTTATAAAGTCATACAAACTGCTCTCTTATACTACTGTACATAGTCTTTGTTTCTTAAGATTGCCTGCAATGGTTTTAGAAGCAGAAGTGAGTTCAGTGGGAGCCATGCCTAACACCATATTATGAATGGGTGGAGTTAACATCAAAAGCCCTTAAATTTCACTTGGGGCAATGCATATAATTATGCATGTGAATTGACAGATTATTACTTGAAAAACTTATACATATACATATACCTACATATATATACATACACACACACACAGACATATATATACATATAATTATATATATATATATAGTCTTGAGAGTTAACAAAGTTGATACTATAAGATACAAAACTATTACAGAAGCTAGTTGTTCTGCTTCTGATACCACAAAGACTCCTCCCAGAAGGTAAGAAAGGTAAATCACTTTTGTGCAATTAAAATTTTGTGCACGATGTCATTTCAAGCAATGGTATAACATTCTGATATTATTTATTGGCTGTTTGCTGGATTTCAGATCATGGCTGCTTTTTTTTCTTCACCTTAAATGTCCTTCAGTCATATTTGCATTCTACAGGCATTAACACCATCATCTACTCAAAAAGCAATTGCTAGTCTTTTATGTAAATTATTACTCTGCAGCTTTACTGCCAATCTTTATGGCAGTATGATTATGTTACATTCAAGCACTCCTTTTCACCAACACCTGATTTCAGAGGGTTACATACAATATCTGCTAATACTACTGGCATTCTCTTCTTTTCTCTTTTCCTATTTGCATTCCTTACATAACCCCAAGTCTCCTGCAGCGAGTTTCCAAATCTCTGGAGCAGATTTGGGAACACAGAGAAGTGGCGAATCTAAATCATTTGTTACAATACAACTTTAAGGTAGAAAATTAGAGAAATCACAAACACTGTCTGTCTGTCTACCTATCATATACCTGTCTATCTAAATTGAATTATTGAATTCAAATAACTTAATTTGATTTAATTTATTTGGTTTAAATTAGATCAGTAAGCACAGTTAGTAAATGTCAACTAATTCAAATTAGTAGAAAATAGTGTTCTTAGGTGCTACGTGTCTATGTAGATTCTCAGTCATCCAGGTGCTTTCTTTCAAAAGGCAACTGGACTTTCTTGTTTTGCTTGAAGATGATTTGCTTTTCATCCACGAAGGTAGGTCCTACAGTTTTACAATGATAAAGAAATTTCATTATTTTTCATCTTACCTTTGCTTCCATCTCTTTTTACCCTAGAATTAAGTGCATACTGTTATAGATGACTGTCTTTCTCTCTGAAATGCACCTTTGGTCGGTGAAAAGCATCTTATATGTTGAAGGTAAAATAGATGTTATATGTCTTCCCAATTTTTAAAGAAACTTTCCAAACCATGTTAATATTAATGTGCATTGCACTTGGTTTCCAGACTCATACAGTGTACAAAAACTTGTTATTCATTCTCCAACAAGTGACAGCATTCATTATCCGATCAACACTATCTGAACAAAAAATTGTGATTTCTAACTTGATTTCCTAACTGTTTAAAACTGCAGAAAGAATACTTACCGGTAAAACTTTGAGCTGAAAGTGAGGTAGATTGTCAGACTTCTTTGCTACTTATTTCAGAGATGATAAGATCCCAATTATGTAACATGAAGCAAACTTCTATCAAACTATTTAATATGATACAGTAGATACTCTTCGTTATGTATTGTGTTGTAATTGCAATAAAGATTTTTCCCCAGGTATTTACATGTATAGGTATGTGTATCTACATTATGTCTATATGAAATTGTCACTCATGCATTTGTGCTTGGCAACTTGAATTACTGTATATTTGTGCCACTGCATATTTTATTTTACCATGATGTGCAAAGAAATTTACTTGGTTTTAAATACAATAATTAAGGTTGTATTTCCTTAATTATCTAGACAAAGATATTGGTGTCTATCAGTACCATGAAAAGAAGGAACCAGGTAAAATTTTGACACTTATAATAAAAGTTATAATAAGATTACAGTTAAAAATTCAGCATTTCAAAAATTGTATGTTTTGTATTTTATGATTACATATTTATGCAGTATATTTACAACAATAGGTAATTTGATCATTAAGTGCCTATTTTATTCCAACAGTCATATCATAGTCTGAAACCTATATAATATCTAGTAAATCATATAATATTTAAGTCTGCATAACTTGTTAAGGTAATTTCTTAAGATTGTCCATGTGGACTTCTACATTATTTTTCTTGTATTTCCACTTCTCTTTCTTGTCCTGTTTTTATAGTATGGCATTTTATTTCCTGATGAGATTTCAGATATTTCTATAATTTTTGACTTCTTTGTTTTTGACAAAGATCTTGTTCAATTGTTGATTCCCCTCCCATGAATCAAAACTATTCCAAATTATTTTGCTCTACCACTAGTTAGCCATTAACTCTTCCTACTTTTAAATATTTTTTTTAACAAAAAAGTATACTTAAGAAATTTTAAATGTTTTGTATAAACATATAAAGTACAATATATTAAATTGGTAGAGCCTGTTACATTTTATTTATTGAAGATCCAGTAGAGGGCAATGTAAATTCATAGGAATGCACTGATGTTGGTTTCCTGGATCTTCCTTTCTTGATATTTGAAATGGGCATTTCAGAGTGAATGATCAATTTTCTTTATCTGATTAAACTTTTTAATCCTGGAAGATTCATGATGGGCCAAAAGGTCTTTTCATCTAGAATGACTTCCTGTTTTGGTCCACATTAAAGTGGTAGTTTGTGTGAGCATTCCATGCGGCCTCCACAAGCAGCACAGACTGGTTTTGGTTTTGATTCAGTTGTCAAGTTAATTAGAATAAAATGTGTTTAGTGCCATTGTTGAAATTGCTTCCATTTTACAACAAATTTAGTGTACTAGAGAAGGAAAAAAATGTTATTTTTTACCAAATCAAATCTTTATTACAGTTATAGCACTGTTTTTCCTTGTGAAATATCTCTTCTTTTCCAAAATATAAAATAGTAGCTTGCTGACAATAGAAATTAAGACAGTTCAACTTCGTTTTTCTTCTTGTTGTAGGGCCACAAATGAAAGTTGGTTATTTATATGAGAAACAACAATTAGCAGAGTGTAAGAGCATTTTCTATTTTCTTGTTACTGCAAATAAATGTACAAATATGTAAATGTATGTTTTTCTTTAACTTTGCTTTTTAAAATAATATATAGAACTAGCTTTTACATAATAAAAGCTAGTTCTATATAATATATGTAGAACTAGCTTTTCTAAATGAGATGCTGCTTTTTAAGAGAAATAGCAAGTTGTCCCAGAGATAGACTTTCTGTTTTTTTGCATACCTTTTGGACTATAGTTCTTTTTGTTTTCATTCATTACAGCCAGGTTGGTGAAAACTTGTAATCCAAAACTTGTGGAAAGCACCAGGTTGCAAATATGGGTATTTTCTGTTGAACCTCATGAAGGAGATGGGTGGAGGGTGGAAGAACTATTACAAAAGAAAACATTAAGCCTGGCTCTCTATTTCTCTCAAACTATAACCTCCAGGACTAATACTGATTCTTTCACTTCATATAGTGTGGGGATCCTCAGCACTCTTTCTTAAGATGAACCCACTCAATGGACTGATTCCACTTGAGATAAGCATCCTGAAGAAACAAGGGTGCTGAGACAAGCTGTGTTTTAAAGATTAAAACTTATGTCTTAAATTGAATCTAGGACCCTATTGGAAGCCAAGCAGCAATCAAATCAAAACTCTAATGCTACTAAATTGGTTCCCCCACTATTAAGCAGTCCATTGCTTTCAAAGAAAATTTAATTAGGATCTCCAAAACTTTCATGGCCCTTATCATATTGATACCTCACCTCAAATTGACAGATAAGTAGTTTCCGATAGAAGTTAAAACAGCATGAGAAAGAGGAATGAACGCTGTTTCATTCCAGACTGGAGTAACAAGCACTCAACTGTTTTTGTTGCATGCACATTACATAGAATTGTTCATTCAGGAAGTAGTAGAACTACCATAATTTTCCCAGTTCAAATTATTTTTAAGTGGCCCAAATGAATGCCATGTTTAATGAAACGGAATGCCATTGGGACATCTAGTAGGGCCAGGAGAAGTACATTCCCTCTACTTCCCAACACAGATCGTCAACCAGGACAATCATTGCTATTTGCATCCAATGCCTGGGCCTGAATCCTGATTGGAAAGGAAATAACACGTTTATTTCCTTTAGAATCTTTATAGTGGAACTCCTACCCCCTTGCCCATAATGTTTCCATGATAGGAAACACAGATTAGAGATTGGATGGAGTTCCAACAAGGATGGGTGAAGAAATTACTGTTTCTGAAGAGTTTGAATCACTGCCTGGTTCAAGGAGAAAACAGTCACCTCCTGTATCCACTGATCTGCACACATCCCAAATAGCTGCCTGAAATGAGAGGCTGTCTTCAATCTTTCTCAAAGTAGATGATCTTGTAAGATGCAGCCTAAGTCAGTTTGCAAGACTTTGCTAAAGTGCCATTTAACTCTGAGAAATTGACATGGTTTTATCTGTGAAAATCCAGCAAAAATATCACAGTAGTCTGTAGGAAGTTCTCCCCATGTCTGTCCAGAAGGGTATGGGTAACGCTGAACAAACAAAAAGAAATAAATAAATATGCATCAGTACTGCTATTGCCATGGAATATTCCTGAAGTGGTGTTATCTTTGATAACATTCTACTTGCTTTCTGCCATACTATTCTAGATCTCTCTTTAACTTTTCATCTGTATGTCTTCAGTAAGTCTAGGACTCCCCCCTCCCAGAAACACACACACACAAATCTCATTGATCAAGGAAAGGCCATTTGGACATCTCAACCAATATTCTGGTTGATTCTGATTTTGAGAGAGCAACAATTTGCTCAGTCAGACTGCTTATCTAATCATTGGGAAAACACCCCAGTGCCCTCAGGATCCATTAGGTACTTGTGACAGACCATCAAGTGAGGTGAAAATATGACTATATGCAGGAAAATTTATGACAGATCTTACACCTGCAGATTACATAACCGGTGTTCCCACCAAGTTTAAGATGTGAGTGCTTATATGTATTGGGCCAGAGATTTCCAGGTCCGTAGTTGTCATGTAGGTCATGAAAGGCCAAGCCCAATCTGAACCCACACCCAGGACACGGAGATTGAAGTCACAAAGCTCTATAATGCTGTCATTTAGCTTGTATAATGAAGATCTCATTTAATAAGCCATAAAGCCTTTCTTAAAATCAGAGTTGTTAGTGTCCATTTGAAAAAAATGGATTAATACTTTTCCCTTCCGTACTTGTATATAGACCTGGTGTTAACTAACAGCAGCTGGAGGTTGAGGCAGAGAACAACTCAAGTCATCAAGATGCAGGAAACAAGGACAAAAAGCTGGAAACAACACCAGTTTGAAGGCCTTTGTTCTCCAGCAACAATCAACCCAGTGTCTCCCATCATACTGCCCACTGATAATCTCTGGAAATTTGCTTCCCTACATTTATGATCCTGTAATGCTCCATAGCCTCAGCTAGAGAATTCCAAAATGAGTAACACATTAAGCAAAACAATTGAAGCAAGGGAAGCAGTATTTGGAATTCAGCTGTTCAACCCACCCATCACATGTCAATTGGCCACCCACAGTACTGCAGCAATCCCTGATCCACTCAACTTCATCCCAGTATTATGGGTGAATGGTTCTTTTCTGCATGCTCTCCGAGTGCTGCAAAGGACCATGGGAAGGTATTAAAGTATTAAAGTGCTATTGCTGTTGTGCCTACAATATGATAGTATTTACTTGTATGGCCTTCCTAAGCAGTTGTCCATAAATTTAATTTCCACTATAAATAGAGTACGTGAGTATCCACAGAAATTTAAAAATCATAAAACAGACCCATAAATGAGTAACAAGAGACACACATAGAAATAAAAACAGTAAAAGAGGTTCTACAGTTAGAAGCAACTTAAAAGCAAAGGGCCAAACTAACAAAACTACTGTCCTTGGCCAGTCAGACATTTGGAAGAATAAGGACCTCTCAAACAGAAAATGGACCAAATAGGACTTCCATGATAATGTGTTCCATAATCCAGGCTTGATCACAGAGAAGACCCTCCTTAACAGTCACGCTTTGATGACAGTGGCAAAAAACTCACTGTACTTCATCAGAAACTAGCAGGTTCATAATTGATTTCTGAGTCCACGTTATGTAGAATTTTAGTGATAAATGTTCTTTGAATAAATATATGCTTTGAAAATGGACACTTTAAATTATAAAACAAATTTATAATGGGATTGATAATGTTCATAAAGCAGTGAAATTCTACATTCCTTTTAATGTGATCTTTTCAGTGTTTGAATGTTTTATTATTCATAAACTATGGATTCAAATGAAATACTAGTTATAGTTATTCATTATGGCATGCAATATCTTATATATTTATTTTATTTGCTAGCTCGAAATTATCCTTGGATACTTAAGAACAAACGTCCAGAAAAGCTTCGAGACACACTTAAGGAGCTAGAGGTATTTTTCAGAAAGATTCAAGCATAACAACAATTAATCCATGTTTTCAAATCTCTTTCAACACCTTTAATTTTCCAAAAGATCATCTTCTGATGATAAGTCGGCTTTTGAATGGTGGGATATCCAAAACAGTTGCATCTTTGTTTTAGATGTCAGGAAATCTTTCCTCTTTGAAAAACAGAAGAACTTTAACCACACATGAAATGTCTACAGTCATCTATTCACTGTCTACTTTCTATTTTTCTCCAGGAACTGTTGCAAAATAGTCAGTGTGTACTGAGTAAATGGAAGAGCAAAGATGTCTGTCAGGTGAATATTTTGACATGGCTTGCAAGGTTCAATCAACAGCACTGAACAATTGTTAAAGAGACTAGTCTTAAGTTAACTTATAGAAAAATACAGTGTTTGTTTAAGATAATTTCTTGATGCACATATTCACTTGAAAAACAAAACCAGTATAATACTCAGCTGAATGTCTTGACAAAAGTGTCTCCTTTCAAATTAGAATCAGTCATGAAAAATACATAATGCTTTCAAATAAAATGAACTATTTAGAAAACACAGGATGCAGTCCTTCATACACTCACACAACATAGAATTTCATTTGAAATTGGCAGGACTTATTACTAGTGTATCACTAGCCCATCACTAGCTTCAAACTGGATTATCAGAGATAAGAGAATCATTTAATGTTTATACTTGATGTGTTTGTTTTTATGACACCTCTGAACTGTCCAGAATGTGTATTTTGTGTCGATGTAAATATTCACATAATATATAGAGAAAACATCTGCTCTCATCTTGTTAACGACATGGAAAGTGGGAACAAGTTGGCATAAAGTGTGTGATCCAGCAGTCTAATCAACAGCTTTTTCCTGAAATATGTTAAAAACTACTTCTGCCTTTTTACTCTTGATTTTTTAATAGGCATATACTTGTATAACTTAATTCACTGAATTTTATTAATATATGCTAATAATCAGTCATAGTATCGACGTAATAATTTAATTTTCTTGTAATTATAGCTATATTTTATAATGATAAAGTTATTAAGCTGGGTAATATTTTGTCTTACCATGTGTTGTAATTTGAACAAGCGTAGCTATTAACTTCAAAGGCAAAGATTTGATATCTGATAATGATGCATTATATTGCAATCTTCTGCATAGTTACTTGAGAATAGACATCACTGAGACCAGTGAAACATATTTCTCCATAAGCAAATGCAGGATTCTATTTTTAAAAGCATATGTACTGTATTTTTTAGAGTATAAGACACACTTCTCCCTCTTAAAAGTGGATGAAAATTTCGGTGCATCTTATATACGGAATATGGGCCTGTTTTTGGCCTCCTGAACGCATTGCGTTTTTGCCCTACCTGATCCCCAGAAGTCCTCTGCAGTGCTTTGCACATCCCATTTTCACCAAAAACGGGTCTGTTTCTGGTCTGCAAAGTTCTTCTGGGAGCCAGGGAGGGTGAAAATGGGATGTGTGGAGGCCAAAAACTTTTTTTTATTGTTTTCCTCCACTAAATCTAGAAGCGTCTTATAGTCTGGTGAACTTTCAAAAGTACTTCTAGGTTTTGTTAGGAAACAATCTAAAACTAACTTAGACTGAAGTAATATGCCTCCTTACTAAAGAACTGAAGATTAAGGTACATTGAGTCTGATTTCTATCCTCAAAAAACTGGTAGGAAGCATTCTGAAACTCTAATTAATAAACATATATTATATGTTTCACTATGAATTAAATCATCATGATATATCAAAAGGAAATCCTGCTTCACAATCTAACAGTATCATATAGATAGAAGTGATTTGGTGGACTTTCAAAAGCTGAAAATTATATATATTTGATGTAAAATATATAACTTGATATGAGTCATAGGTGATGATTGTGGAAGGGATGCACAAAAGTTCTTTGTAACCAATTGACACACTTTCTACAATTTGTAATGGAAGATGATTTTAAGGTGTTTGTGTTTATTCAAAAAATAAAAAAAGATAAAAAGTAATCAATTTAAAGATATTTTTCTCCATTTCCCCCTCTCTTCTTTGGCATTTCAGTATCATAAAAATTACTATATATTTAGAAAGGTTTAATACACCTTTTCAAAAGCTGGTAAATCAACTCCTGAAAATCCGGCCTTGTATAGAATTGTAATATCATTGTTCCACCCACTTTGACTATTGGCTATTCAAAAAAAGTACTAGATAATAAAGCTAAAGTGTTTTTGTCTGTTGCGATTGAAAATGCATACAGTTGTGACTATCTAATATAGATCATTGGTACTGCAGCTACAGCAGCCACTAATATAAGGCATTCATAGGAACAATAGCTGGTTTTTTAATTTTTGAGTTAAAAAGCACATTGAAAAGAATATTGTGATTAATATTTTTTTACTTAGGTTTTGAACTTTGTTATTGATGCTGCTGACTTCTAAATACCTATCTGATTCTCATCATTCCTTAAATTGATAGATTGCTTATAGCAACAAATGTCAATATATTTGTTAGAGATGGTGTTCATGGAGACTTGGCAGGTAGTAAACAACATCCTTTTCTGAATAGAGTATTCATTTATTTTTTGAGGAAGCCTCAATAAGGAATACTATAGATATATTTTTTCATATATTTATTTTACATAGATCCCACATTAATCTATACAGCTTCTAGAGAGTTTTGTTATTCTTCACATTCTTTCATTTATTTTGGTGAGGGAAGGGCAATTAAAAATACTTCCAAAACACTGTTAAACTACAAAATCGTATTATCTATTTCAGAATCATTTGAGATTTTATCTAATCCAACTGCAATATAAGAATAAACTGAAGTGCTGAGATCTTGCAATAAAAGCTGTACAAGTCTAACTGTGTCTAATGTTTTTACTACGACAAAACCTTAAAGGACATTTGCCATTACTTGGGGAGTTTCAGTAACTATCTAGAATGATTACCTGAAGATAGTTTTATTAGACTAAAGAAGGCAGTGATTCTAATACAATTTATATTTTACAAAAAAAATCTGCTTTATCTAGGTGTTTTCAGAGATTTAAGTAGCATTTGTTTTGAACTATTGAACCATAGTCTTTTTATTTTGTATATTAAGTACAAGTATTTTGATGGATGGGCATTACACAGTCAGAGACAGACAATTTTTTTTGATAGCCAAAATAACATATTTAATTATTTTGTGGGAAATTGAAAGTTGCAAAATCCATGGAGTTTCATCAAATGTTTAGTGAAGCTAAATTTGGCTGGCAGTTTTGAGTTTTAAATTATGACATGCCTATTTTAAGATGTGCAAGCTTTCCTCTAAATGTATTTATTCATTATATAAATTTATATGGCAACCTAGTTGACCTGTGATTAAGGATGGCAATCAATAAAATAATCACAATTATTAAAAAAGTTAAAATCAACATTCCTTGTACAAAGCAAAATCCAACCTATTCCCAGTCCAAGCTTGAAGAAAAAGTCACATCTCTTTTGATTGGACCATCCAAATCTCAGGTTATTCTATAGGATTAACTATAGTTGGAAACTACCTTTAAACTACTCTTACTGCATTTGACACATTTCAGTGGTTGAATTATATGACCTTTAAAATATAAATTTAATATGAAACTTAACAATCTCTGTTAATAAGTTACAGCTTATTTTTTTTTTCCTGTCTCTTTGGATTCAGCTTCTCTTTCCTTCAGGTATACTGGTATCTCTAAGCCTTTCTGGACCACAGCTGGAACAAGTGGTGATTGACAGAACTCTGATGGGAAAGTTCATCTCTAACACTATCAGTGATGGTAATTATACCTATGTGCATGCAATTCAGCTGCCTGCATTTAAAGCGGAAGAGGAGAAATAGTAAGTCAACAGGTAGACCAATTATTACCACTGGGGACTTGAAAACATTGGAAGTAATTGCATGAAATTTTACAACTACTACCCTCAGGACAAAACCACTTTAGGAAAAAAACATTATTTTTTATCAGCTGCTATATTCAGCATGTAATTTCCCCCCAAAGCATTGAAATTTTAGCACAAGTAACTTTTTCTATTTGAGTGCATTATATTTCAGTAGGTAAAAGTATGAGTATAACATACTCACAAAGTATGTTCAGCCATATTATCTGACATCTATTAAATATCATAGGTTGAATTCATGTCCTGAAAGAGCAATATATTTTTTACATTTGTGATCTGTTCACAGTATGACTCACAAAACTTTTTTTAAAAAAAATAGTTACGTGAAGATGTTTAACAGCTTTTAAGACAAACTTCCACTATTCTATTAGGTCAGGACACTTAAGAACATAATTCCAAAGACTAAATAAGTTACTTGTATCATCTTCATGAATTTCCATTAATTTCTTAAAAGAGCTTTAACTGATTTATCCAAAGCTTCAAACCATTTTTTTCCCAATTCCAGCAAGAAGTAATGACATCATTGATTTTCTGGTTATGGTCAGCATGCCATTTATTAAAGAAAACTATTTTTGTTTTTTAAAATAATTTCTATTTTTTCACCATGGCAATATGTTGCTAGCGCCTGTCAAAATAACACTGAATATGGGGAAGAACAGTGGCATATTCAATAAAAAAGATGGATATCAGTTAATATAGGAGATTGAAATTTACTTTTAGAAAATGCCAACTGTGGAATTGATATGAAAATTAAATAGAAGAATAAGGATACTGTTTGATTCCATTTAAAATATTTGATTCTGTTTAAAGTAAGGGTTGCTGCAGAGAGACCTCTTATGGTAGCACATTGAATTTGCATGTAGATATTCCCATGTGGGACCCTGATATACTGGAGTAGTCAGCAACCTCTGAATGTGGTTGCTAGTTTTTGCCATAGCCTCTCTCTGGAGACCAAGTTAGAAGCTGCCTTCAGGTCAGTGAACATGGCACAGAGAATTCTTTGCAGGAAGTTAGAATATTTCTCTGCCAGATTGTGTAAAATGATGCATTGATCTAATGTTGATTACCCAGCCCTAAATCCAACTTGCCTTTCAGCTAGCACCTCCCCTTGTAGCACTCAGTGAGTTTCTCATTAAGGCCATACAATTAATTTATAACGTTTAATTAGCTGACTAGTCAAAAGTTAGCTCTGCTGTATTTCTTTGTTTTTTATTGAAACTGTTGAGATATGTAAAACGAATTATCAATAAGATCAAATAGGCTGACCAACAATAGAGAACCCAGTCAGGAGTTCTACAAGAGTCTGTCCCCCAGCTCAGCAAAGTTACCATTTTCCAATTGAACAATGAATGAATGTGATATACAGTAGACCAGTCAAGGGAACAGTTATCTGGAGTTTGGAATATAATTATAATTCTGCAGCCATAAAAAAAAACTGTACCAATTTTTTAATCACTTCTGTATCAGTCAAGGATACAAAGAAGCTGGCGCAAGGAAATAAAATAGATATTGTATTAGACCATCTTGACCATGATAGAGAGAGATTTAAAATATTTGAAGGAGGAGGAGCAAATACTCTTCCTTCAAATGATTGGAAGTTGAATGGTGGGTTTTTGAAATCAGCAGAATAGATCTCTTCTAACTAATAGTCAAGCCACCTCAGCAGTCTGACAGCCAGAGGAGCCATGTAGAAGCTGATAAATATGTTGAGTTGGTATAGAGAACCATGGAGATGATTTTGAAGTTCTCTTCAGGAGCTATTTCAGAAACAAGAACACAGGCATTCCTTAAGCCCTGGAAAAGAAGATAATGTTAAGAATAGATTCAAACTGACTCTTCCATGACTTAGAAAGATATAAGAGGCAGGAAAGTAGAACAGAAACTCCTGCAAGATTCTATTATTATAGTGTTTCATATAGTGATAGTCCTGTGGATCCTTTCCTTGATCAGGTCTACCTTGCAGGGCTGATAATTTTTGAACATTCAAGGACATTATCTCTGCATAAGAAAATAAGTTCTGTCTGAGCATGTTCAAATGCTAAACTTTTACAGGAATTGTGGCTTCTTAAAATATTAAGCTGTATATTTTAGACCCATAGTTCTTATTGTGGTTATTCCACACTTGAGCTCCTTTTGGGGTGAGTTGCTCAATTTATTGCTTTATTCCACACTTACTGGCAGGCAGAAATATATATTCAATTTTTACTTCTTTTGCAGCGGAATACTGTGCCCCTGTATGGCGTAACACCTGCCATACTAATAAGTTAAATGCCAGAGTCTATGACACTGAGGATTATAAGCGGATGTATTAAAATGCTGCGCTTCAATGGTTAGATGGTCTAGACATTTGTATTTGAACATAGATCTTTTTAACATTTATATTTTATTGTGTTTTACTAATCTAGGTGAAATGTTTATATATTGCTAATCTTTTTTTGATATGCCATATGTTAAATAAATAAATAATTCACTTTTGAGGTATTCCAAAAGGTTATCTATCTCAAATCTGTTATTAATTTTTACCCTTCCTCCTAATATAGTAGAAAACATAATACTGTTAGCTAATTGTATGAAAAGCTAAAAGTTATTAAAAGATTAACACAAATTAAGAAAGCAGAACTGTTATTTTTAAATGTTAATTTACTTGGGGAAAGTTATTTTGGGCTCTGGTTTTATGACATCTTTGAAGTAATTTTTTTAACTATTTTGCCCTTTTATTATTTTTTTTCTTATAGTAAATGTCTTTATTGTATTTTTATAAGCCATAATGCAGCAGTAGTTGATACTTATTACAGTGTCATCACCCCCACCCGCCACTAGCCCCAGCCAAAAACAGTATATTGGTAGTTTAATAAACTTCAGATGCCTGCAGAGCTAATTGGTTTTATTCATTTTCATGTAAGCTTTCATTTCAGAATAAAAAAGATGCTTCACTCCACCATACCCACAATATTTTCATTCATCTAGTGTCAACCACTGCAGAAGATATTATTATCTGAAAGAACTTTAAAAGAAAAGAACCAATAGAAAAGATATTGTAAAATACCATATCTTTAAAAATATATCATAATTTGTTCTATTTTTATTACATCTGCTTCCTAGGCTTTTCTTATCGTTTTCAAAAAGACACAGCAGGAGAAACACTTATATCAGTACATCATAGAAGTTATGCATAGTGCTAAAAATGTGTTTTTATCTTCCAATATTCCAGTGGAGATTTCAACAATTTATTTTGTTGTCAGTGATAAGTATTAAAATGATGTTGTTTTTTCTTCCAGCTGTGCTTACTGATACTTTTATGATCTTTTCATTTTGGGAACAAAGCAAACTCTGTTTCATTGAACTCTCAAAAAACCCAAATTCTCCGGATGTAAACAAAAAACTTGAAAAACTCTCAAACTTCAATTTTAAGGTACAGCCTTTAATGATTTTGCAAGTATCATAATGGTATCATTATTGGAGAAATGGATGTTAAGAAAAAGATAGGGATTTAGTATAAAGTATAGGCAATTTTTTTCAGTGATGCTTAAATTGAATTTCATTTGGACTGTTATAATTGTCAAGAAAGATAGGCAGGCAGGCACACAGATAGACATTTCAGTGTACTTTATACTATAAGGTTTTAGAAATAGTTACCAAAAGTAAACTGTAGACAAACTTAGGCCAGGTTGTGCTTAACCTTGAAAACATGACAAAGAGGACACTGATGTATCAGTGATAAATAATCTCCTCTTGAATTCAGATTCTACTGTATATCTGGATCCTGATGAAGGAAGAAAACCATGGAGCATTAACCAGTCTCAACAAGGAGCTTAAAAATGATAATATTGTGCAACAAAAATGGAATTATTGCAAACTTTGTACAGAATATTAAAATCCAAATTTAGTTGGAAACACTAGACTAGGTCATGGAGGTAGCATTGTGCTTGTAAAGGAGTGCAAGATACAAGATGGACACATATAGGGTTTCTCTTAAGTAATGTGGACTGCAGCTCTCACAATCCTTTGCCATTGGCAATACTGGTTTATGGTGAAAGTAATTGAATTCAATTGATAATATTGAGATTTGAGATAGAGGCTTTAGAATTAATTAACTTGTTCCATCCTGATATATTCTGAATATATATAAAATGGAAGAGATTTTTCGAATGAAATAAACGTTTTCACTTTATTTGTTTTCAAAATGAAATATGGAGATTATTATAGTAAAAGTTTGGTCTCTACTACATTGTATGAATATATGCTGCCTTTTATCCCCTATCACTGCCAAAATGTTATTAGATAACAAACATGACAAAATGTTTTGTTAACTAGTATTATTTTTCTCCTATTGCTTTTTTGTTATTTATCTGTTACATAGATTTTGTGTCTATAAGGCTAGTTTTAGCGAATTACACTAAATATGTTGCCAGATTATATTATAGAGTCTGTTGGGAATGCTCTCTGCTAGAATGAACATCTAATATATTTTCCAGGCTGCTTCAGTTGAAGGCCTCTTTTCAATACTGAGTTGTGTTTGCAAGATTGATCCAACCTCTATAATATGGATTTGAGACAGTTCACTGTTCACAAGGAACTGAGCTGATATGTTGTTTACTTCAGGATGATGCACACTTTTGTGTGTTTGTTAAGTTTGGGATTTCGGTAACCATCATCAAAATCTTTATATACTTAACATTATTACAAAGCAGCTTTGGAATAACTTACTGTGTAATTTACTTTCCAAATGTATCTTGCATGTGTTTAATTATCCCCTCTTTTGGACCAAAAACATAGTTTACATGAACTTTTAAGAAAACAGAAAAACATGGATATTCAAGAAAAAGATGAAATGAGAGTCACTACCACAATTTAAATATTTAAAGCTTAATTTTAATATTTCTAATAGTTTAATCTAATATTTATAACTGAAAAAGATTTTTTTATTTATATTAGTGCTGTACCTGTACACAATTGCTGTTTTATTGTGGATTGTATTAACTGTAGAGTACAATGATGTTTTTAAATTGTTGATTGCAATGATTGTATATGCATGTATATAATTTTGCATACATTTTGTCTAAAAACATTGGAAACAGTTCATAAATGCAGCGCATTAAGACATTACTTTTAAATAATTAAAATTGTAGGTGTGATCAGCCTTTGTGATAGGTATTCTAAAATATAAACATTAATTTTCAAACATTTACATACAATTTAGTTAACAAAGTAGTGCATAACAAAAAAAAAACTATACAATAACATTATCCAAGGCAACCAGTACCAATTAAATCAGCAATAAAATAAACCCCCAAAACACAAACACCAAGAAGGAAATCACTAAATTGTAGGCATTTTTTTCAAAAAAGAAGGATTTACCTTCAAGGGAAAAGAAAAAAAATTTAGACTTAGATCTTGTCACTGGGATAATCCAAATGGCATGGGTGTGATGCTAGATTATTAGTCTCATGAAGTTGTTCTTGTGAACAGGCATATATATGAACTTCCCCACTCCAACTGGTGCTCAGTGTGTATGCTATATGCAATAATGTTGGGTAGTAATTATTCAGACACCAGCCTGCATATTGGCTTTTTAATAATACCTCGCTCTTCTACATTTTGCATCCTGATCAGAACTCTTTGTTTTCATCCTTGCCAGAAAGCATGACTTGTCAGCCTAACTCCGAATCAATTCAATATCTTATACCAGTCATGGCTAACCTTTTTCCCATCGCATGCCAAAAGTGGGGGGAGTGGGGGGATCATGCTCATATGTGCCCTCCCCCTGTGCAAGTGCGTGTGTCTCCAGAGGGTGAAAAATGGCCAAAAATGAAGGCCGAAATCAGCTGGCCAGTGCGCGCATGCACGCTAGAGCTGACAGGGCAATGCCTCACGTGTCCTAAGAAATGGCTTTGCGTGCCACCTGTGGCACATGTGCCATAGGTTCGCCATCACGGTCCTATACTCTAGCCAAATAATCAATTTGATGCTACTGTAACGCAAACAAGGAGTATTAACACACCCACCTTCCAAAAAGGACTGGAAAAGAGCTGATGTAGTTCTCCTCTTCAAAAAAGAAAAAGAAAAATAGATCCAGGAAACGGAAGACCTATCAATCTGACCTCAATAGCAGGGAGGATTCTGGAAAATAATTTACTACATGTGGGCAAAATGTGTTGTTTGCTATAAGGCCCCAAATAGTGGGCATAACAAAGAACAAGATAACCAAGATAACAAGACAAACTCTGATTTCTGGAAGCTATTTTTAATGCTAATCTGGGCTAAAACCAGACTCTAGATAACTGTAAGAATAAATTCATCATTTCAGTTATAGTGAATTAATTAACATAGAGCTTCTTTGAAATAACCTGTATTTCTGCACTGGATTGCCCCTTCTTAGATAAACCAATTATTCAGCACTCACTTTTCCACAGTCTTCACACTGCATAATGAAAACTAGCAAACATAACAAAGGAAGCAAATTGCTGGCATGACAAACTTCTTCCCTTTCCTTTTGCTCTTATTTACTTTACTTTATTTATTGAATTTATATAGTCACCCATCTTACAAACAAGTAACACCAGATGATGTACTACAAAATTAAAACAATAAATATCTAAAATCATAACATTAACAAATATTAAAACATTAAAACTATATAAACAGCTAAAACAAAATTAATAGATGAGGGGATAGTAATAGTAACGAAAACACCTTACCAATTCACCCATCCCCTGGGGTCTCAAGGCTTGCTGGCATAACCAGGTCTGACGTGACCTCCTGAAGTCTAGAAGCAATAAAGCCATTCTCACCTTGGGTGGGGGAGAAAAAAGATTCCAGAGTGCAGGTGCCACAGCAAAAAAGGCCCACCTTCTAGGCCCCACCTAGATGTCAGACCCATTACATACACTTTCTATTAGATCTGGTGGGATGGGCGGATGAAATCAGAGTGAGGTAGTACTTTAACTGGTAAGATCGAAATCATTCTTGTTCACACAATTTGTTTCAAAAGCAGGATTTTTTCATTCCTTGTCTAAAAGGAAGAAAGGAAATGTGTTGTAAAAAGTGGGGATAAGCTTTGTAATCCTATGTTTAGTCCTATTTCCTTTTATATAATTTATTTTAATGAACTTGATGTTCATTAAAAAAAAGCTTCCAAAGTAGCGTTACAAACATGGCAGGAAGGTATATTCAGTGTAGTAATATTGTCCTAAAATTAATTTTGCACTATATTTAGCTACACAATATGTATTAGCATAAGTATTTTTATTCTTCTAAACTCTCAGCACCATAAAGCATTAAAACTTTTGGATAAATCTTTTGAAATCATTGCTAGTTTGCCTGTTTTATTTTCATAGGTTTTTAAATCACTTTGCTGAACTGTGAGAAGACAAGAGTATAAAGAGTTAATGTTTACTGAGAGAAAACAGTGGTAATTACTTTGATTTCAGTTCCTTTTGATGTGTATTCAGGGGATGAAGAGGTCAATAATATTATGACCATGCAAATAGAAAGGAGCTCTTTTTGGCCATAAAAAAACAGCAAAGGATTATTAAAGCATTAACCTTGATTTTTAATGGACCTTGGTTGAGTGGCGAGATCACAATTTGGATGAGTCTGATTATTTACTAAATACAATACATAAATGCAACGGGTTCTTAACACCCATTGCACTCTGGCATTATCGCATTACTGCCATCCTTTGTTGCCTTGCAGACAGGAATATGAAAGCAATCTGTCATGTAGTGAGACTGGCTCCAGAAGCATTTCTCTGATAAGAAGACCCCCTGCCCTTTGCTTGTGTCTGGTCCAGTAGGCTTAGCCATGCGCTTAATCCTCAGAAAGTGGTTCGATTATTGCTGACCAGCAATAGCAAGATAGTTTTTTTCCACTCCCCCCAGCTATCAACCTTCCATTAATTCCTTAAGCAGAAATGTGGTGCAATCTATATTTCCTTGGCATGTGTCACCCAGATGGTGTACTGTTCATGTTTTCAAATAATCATGCTCCAAAATAACATAGTTTGAATAATAAAAGAATATAATAGAAATAGAAATAGAATTGAATTCTTTATTGGCCAAGTGTGATTGGACACACAAGGGATTTGTCTTTGGTGCATAGGCTCTCAGTGTACATAAGAGAATAAAATACATTCATCAAGAATAAAAGAATATAATAGAAGGAATAGAACTAAGAAATTCTCAAAAGCAGCATAAACTTTATACATCATGCTGTCACTCATCCATATTACTCGGCAAAAATTGTATCCCTTGTTAGAACAGTTGGTGATGTTAACCCTGGAGGAAAATATATATATCCTATTCATACATTGTAAATGACCTTTTAATGTTCAGTGTTCAGTGTTATATTTGAAACGAGTAGCCTTTTTCCAATACTTTTGGTCAGTATAGTGGAACTTAATACATAAGTAGC